TCTAAATTTCCTTGTGCATGCTGGAGGAACTCAGACTCTGATCCGGGAGCTGTTCGTTAATCCCACCAGCCACTTGGGCTAAGGTGCTCTTACGATATCTTGACTTCCTCTTTCGAAGCACTCTACCCTCTGGGGAAGGGTGCCCTCCCCCTCCCCTCCTTGTGCTCTTTTTGGGGTGGGGGGAGGCGCGAGGTGGCAGATGGTCCTCTTTCGTCCAACATGGCTCCAAGACGGCCTCCGATGCTCCAAGATGACCTCCAAGGCGGCTCAAGATAGCCGGAGATGGTCCAGGGTAGCTTTCCACATATCTCCAAGAGGCTCGACGAGGGCTACAAGATGGTTCCAAATGCTTTCGGAGCCCTCTCGGGACACCCCCAGGAAACCAAAATCCTTCGAAAGCCTACGGGAAATCAATGGTGTGCGCCTTTTTGCCTTTTCGCTTCCGATGCGCTGTTGAAGCCTCAAGATGGCCCCCAGACGGCCACAAGGGCGTCCAAGAGCGGCCCACGAGCGCTCCAAGAGGACCTAGAGAGGTAACGTTCATGGCCCCAGGGGGCCAAAGCAAATCGAGGACACCCCCCTTTTGATCGATTGTCTCCAAGATGGCACCAAGAGACCCTCCAGGGCCCCCAAGGGACCCCCAAGAGGGCTCCAAGAGGACCCCCATACCCCCCAACAGAGCCACAAGAGGGCTCCAAGAGGCGATGTTGGGGGCGCTGTCCTCGTCCTCGTTGTCCTCCTCCTCCTCTTTGCCCTCGTCGTCTTCCTTTTCCTTTTCCTCCTTTTCCTCGCCGTCGTGTTCGTCGTCTTCCTCCTCCTCCTCCTCCTCCTCCTCCTCCTCCTCCTCCCTCCCTCGCCCCCACGCGGGCCCCACTGATGGCCCGAAGAGGCCCTCCATGGCCTCCCTTTGCTCCGAGAGGTCTATTTGTCGACCCTGGATGCCCGCTTGTCTCAATATGTGTCTTCTCGTGCTCCCATGGGCAAGGTTTCTCAATAAGCTGGTGGAGGTAATTCGTTGAAGCGTGAAGAATCCATGTAGCAATCTGCGTGGTGCTACCGACGTGGTGACATTGGTGTACTCAATTTTGTGTGATTTATATGGTGCAACCTATGAGGTGCAATCAAGGTCGTGTAATCGATGTGATACTGCCTACGTTGTGCAATCAATATGGTGCAACGTATGTGGTGCAAACTATGTATGCTGCAACCTACGTGGGGCAATGTACGTGTGTGGTGCGCTCTACGTGGTGCAATGTTTGTGACGCAACCTACGTGGTGCAATCTAGGTGGTACAATCTGCGTGGTTCATGGTGAAGTTGGTGCGCGATGCGTGGTGCAACATATGTGGTACACTTGTATAATGTGCAACCTAGGTGTTGCAATCCACACGTGCTCAACTTGAGGCTGTCCAACCCACTGCCCGCGCAAACATCCCACCCACCCACCCGCAACTTGGTTTGCAAAGCCCATGCGGCGGCGATTGCGATGAGTGCTCTGCGCTGGCTGGTGCGTCTTTGCGGCCGCGACAACCCGCGCATGCACGCGCGCGCAGCGGCCAGCTAGTTTGGCGCGGCCGGCGCGGCCGCGGTGGTGCTGACCGCTGGGCACACCCCAGCGGGCACTTCAGTGCGAGTCGGCGACTTGGGCGGGGGCGGTATCATGGCAACGTCGACAACAGTAGGCACGGTGCTGATAGTAGCGATGATGGTGACGATGCTGACAGCGACGACGGCACGGCCAGTGACGGCGCGGATGCTGATCACGCCGACGACGATGACAGCGTCCTGGCGTCGGTGATGAAGGTTTTGGAAAGAGTTCGACATGCGCGCGCGCGCGGCCGACGCGCGAGAGTGGCCCGCGTGGCATTATTTGACACGGATCGTGCCCCCCAGCACGCGCGCAAGGGCGTGCGAATGATTTCGGCATGCGGCGCCAGAGGCCCGTTTGGCAGAATTCCATGAGCATGTTGAAAATCCGATGGTTTTCTCCAGAAGTCGCAAGATCGCGAGCGCACGCTTTTTCGAAAAAGTATGTTGCGAAACAATGTGACCTTACATGTGGTTTGTACACTCAATTTTGACAACCTACCGAAACCCGAGGGTTTTTGAAATATTTCGGCATGCGCACGCGACAACGCGCGCGCGCAGTTCGTCCCATTTGTTGCAATGGATTCTCGCGACGGCACGCGCGCAAGGGCGTTCGAACGATTTCGACATGCGCGCGCGAAGCCCGTTTGGTAACATATTCTGATTTTTCTGGAACACCGATGGTGTTGTGAAGAATTCGCGAATGCGCGCAAGTTTTTTGCTTGACATTTAGTGTTGCGAAGCATTTTTTAAAACATGTGTTTGGTACAATCGATTTTGAAGTCCTTACAACACCGACGGTTTTCGAAGGATTTCGGCGTGCGCGCGCGACGACGCGCGCGTGCGCACTTCGTCTCGTTTTTTTTGCGAGGGATTCTCGAAAACGAATGATTTTGACAAACGAGTGTGCGCGCATAGCTTTTTTCCAAAGGATTGGGGGGCGGATACCAGCTCGACTGGGATGGTACGAATTTAGCTTTCGGATGGAGGATTGAATGCAATACGACAAGGGGTGTGATAATCCCGGGGGGGGTAGAGTCTACTGTTTATTAAGAAAGGAGAATCTCTGTGGTGCACTCTATGTGGTGCAGTCTGCGTGGTGCAGTCTATGCGGCAACGAGCGGCAAAACACTGCAAGGCAAGACAACACAATGCACAGCAACGCAACGTAATGCAACATTTTGTAGGCACAGACGGCGATGCCGACCACATGGCCGCAAAACCGACGGGCAGATCCAGAGCGACGGGGCGGCGACGGCGACCACATAGCCGCCAGACCGACGGGCAAGCCCAGAAGACGGGCGGCGACGAGGCGGCGACGGCGACCACATAGCCGTCAGACCGACGGGCAAGCCCAGACCGACGGGGCAACGACATCGACCACATAGCCGCCAGACCGACGGGCAGGCCCAGAAGACGGGCGGCGACGGGGCGGCGACGGCGACTACGCAGCCGCCAGACCGACGGGCAGCCCAGTTCCTCAGGAAACAAATAAGAACTCCTAAATGCAATCACTGTTTGGTGAATTAATTCGAGGCCCCCTAGATGGTGCCGGAGTAGATGGGGTCGGAGGATCGCGCCGCATCGCCGACACGTTGGCGACGTATCGGCGATGTATCGGAGGTGCATCGGCGATGAATCGGCGATGCGCCGTCGACGTGGGCGATGAATCGGCGACGTCGACGCGGAGCAAATCGGGCTCCACATCGAGCCGCATCTCCGATGCATCGGCGGCGCGGCGCGGTCCTCCGACCCCATCTGCTCCGACCCCATCCAGGAGGCCTCGAGGCACAACACCTTGCAGGGCCCGGGCGCGGCAGCGGCCCGGAGAGCGCAGACGCGGCCCCCGGGACTGCCCTCAGGTCGGGCGTGTCCCCCCCTGCAGGCGGATCTTGGACGAAGAATAAAAGATAGTTTCACAGATACCCCCCAAAATGGCCAAGAAAATACTGAACAAAAAAACGTGCCCAAACTATCTTTTGACTACTTTTGAAAATTTCCTCCTGTATGAAAGGGCCCTGGGACACACAAATAAATGAGAGAGCGTGATCCACCGCCGCTTTACTGTGGAAAATTGCCAACCTTTTCCTCCGGAACCCGGAGGTCGCCCCCCCCCCCCCCCCCTCCGAAAATCCCCCCCCCCTGCTGGAACCCCTCCCCCCCCCCCCCTCTCCCCCGGCAAAACCACCCCTCCCCTAACCCTCCCCCCCCCCCCCCCCCTCCCGCTCGAAAACCGGGGGGGGGTCACTACCGGTTCGAAACCCTCCCCCCCCCCCCCCCCTTCGGATCCGGAAAAACCGGGGGGGGGGTCACTACCGGTTCGAACCCCCCCCCCCCCCCCCCCCCCCTACTCACCGCCAGCAAACGACTCCCGGTCCCCACCACCGTCCGCATCACATCCCCCACTGGTGTTCCCAGCACCACTGTCCTCACCACCGCTGTCCCCACTGGTTCCACCACCGCCCCTACTGTCCCCACCAGTGGCCCCACCACTGTCGCACTGTCCCCGCTGTCCCCAGAACTGTTCCCACCACGGTTCCACTCTCCCCACTGTCTCCACGGCCCCAACCACTGCCCGACTATCCCCACTGTCCCCACTGTCCCACTGACTCCTCCGCTGTCCCACTGAGCTGTCCCACTGTTCCCACCACTGTCCCCACTGTCCCCACCACTGTCCCCACTGTACCTCTGTCCCATTGTCCCACCGCCGTCCTCGCCACCGCCTTCACCACTGTCCCCACCACCATTGTACCCTCCACTGTCCCACTGTTTCCACCTCATTCCCATTGTCCCCACACCACTGTCCCCACCACCACCGTCACCACCACTGTCCACTGTCCCCCCCTGTTCCCACCATTGTCCCCACCACTGTCCCCACCACTACCGTCCCCACCACTGTCCCACTGTCCCACTGTCCCCACCACTGTCCCGCTATCCCCTCACCACTGTCCCCACCAACACCGTCCCCACCTCTGTCCGCACCCCCACTCGGTTTTCGAGAGGGGGGGGGGGGTTCGAACCGGTAGTGACCCCCCCCCCTTTTCATGATGAGCTTTCGAACCGGTAGTGACCCCCCCCGGTTTTCCGGAGGGGGGGGGGGGGAGGGGTTCGAACCGGTAGTGACCCCCCCCGGTTTTCCGCCAGCAGCGGTAGAACACGCTCTTTCAAATAAATACACACAAATAAAACTATTCCCCATAGTTTCCCATATGTTCTGGGTTTCTGTCTTCCCCCCACTGCCCATATTTCCCCATATTTTCTGGAGGATCGACGATTAATTGTGTCTGTGTGTTTTTTCTCCCTCTGACTGTGGAGGTTCACGCCCGCCACGCCCCGCCACGCCCCCGGGCGCCCCGCGCGGCCCGAGGAGGGGCGCGCCCGCCAGGAGCCCCCCGGGGGCGCCGGGGCCGCGGCTCGCGCAGGCCGAAGCGGAGCACGCTGGTGGGCTCCAGCGGGGAGCCGACGTGGTCCATCACCTGCGGCGGTGGACAAACCTCCCTTTGGTAATTAGACCTCCCCTTAGGGAAAACGGCCCGGGACCGAAACCGGCGGACCTGGACCCGCAAAACTGATGACCGCGACGCCCTCTCGCGAAGCGAAAACGGCCAATTCCCTAACCGACGTGTCAGGGTAGGAGGTCTGTCCACCCCGGACACCTCTGCGGGGGGTGAGGCTGGCCGGGGCGGCCCGCACCCAGGCCCCCTCGGGCAGTGAAGCAATCATGACGAGTTTTCGTTTTTGTTCCTCTCCCTCTGTTCTGCTTGTGGGGGTCCTCACCGGTCCTCGGGACCGCCAAAAGACGACTCGGGATGACAAACCGGTCCGGGGGAGCTGGATCGGGACCTCCAGGGGTCGACGTTCTGAAGAAAACATGACGTCGGAGTCTGGGCAGGGCGGCGTCCGCATCCTCAGGCATGGATGCCTTTCGTGAGGCTGGCCGGGCGGGAGCAGGCCCCCGCGACGGAACATCCGCCCCCACACCGGCCACCACTGTGCCTCCATTTGGACGCCCGAAATGGGTACGGAAGAAATGGGCACACTGCCCCACAGCAAATGTTGTCCAAAACCAACAGCGGCCGCTGTTGGGCAGGCGGCCTTCTGTCTCGAATGAGCATAGGCCGCCGCGGCGCGGACAGCGAGTCCTGTGCAGAATGAACAGAAACTGCTGTTGGGCATTGTACCCATTCTTTCCGTACCCATTTCGTTCGTGCAGACTCCAGGCGGGCGGGTCCATGGCCATCTGTCGTGCCAGGAAGGCCCGCGAGGGCGGGAGGGAGGGAGGGGAGCGAGGGGAGGAACCTTCGGAGCCGGGCGTTGCGATTGCTCCGCCACGGGCGATGCTGCCCCGTTGCGGGCCCCCAGGGCCCCCGCAGGTCGGTGGCAGGCGCGCCGCCTGGCGCAGGAAGACGGGGTCCATCTCCTCGCCCCGGCTGGGGCGAGGGAGGAACGCAGACCCCCCCTTGGGCGCCATGGCGAAGCCACGACGGACATGTGTTGTGCTCGTGTGCGACGCTGCTCGGCCTCTGGCGGCCCTCGCTGGGCCTCGGGGCCGTCAGAGAACGGCTCGGAGTGAGAATCTGGTCCCATGATGTTCCAACCTACTTTCGCCTTGAGCGCCAGAAAGAACTTCGAACACCAAGAAAGTATCGAAACTCGAGGGTTTCATAAGTCTGGTCCAGGGGGGCCTGGGTCCAGACCTCTGGGGGTCGACGTGGTGCACAGCATAGTGACGTCGCGGGTCCAGGGAGGGAGCGAAGGAGGAAAAGGAGGAGGAGGAGGAGGAGGAGGAGGAGGAGGATGAGGAGGAGGAGGAGGAGGAGAGGGATGAGGGAGGAGGATGAGGATGAGGAGGAGGTGGAGGAGGAGGTGGAGGGGAGGAGGGGAGGAAGAGGAGGGGAGGTGGAGGAGGAGGAGGAGGGAGGAGGAGGAGGAGGAAGAGGAGGAGGAGTGGAGGAGGAGAAGGAGGGGGGAGGGGGAGGGGGAGGAGGGGGAGGAGGAGGTGGAGGAAGAGGAGGAGGGAGGAGCGCAGGAGAAGGAGCGAGGCCTCCTCGCCTCTCCCGCTCTTTCCCCTCTTCTCTCCAGCCCCTGGCCTCTGGCGGTCGTGCGGGTTGGGCAGCTCGGACCCCCAGGCCGCGCCTCCATCTCCTCCGCCTCTCCTCCTCCTCCAACCCCAACTCCTCCTCCTCCTCCTCCGCCTCCGCCTCCGCCTCCGCCTCCTCCAACTCCAACTCCAACTCCAACTCCAACTCCAACTCCAACTCCAACTCCAACTCCAACTCCGCCTCCTCCTCCTCCTCCTCCTCCAACTCCAACACCTCCGCCTCCTCCTCCTCCTCCTCCTCCTCCTCCTCTGATCCTCTGCGTGCGCTTGGAGCGCAACCCCAGTGCCCGGGGGCGTCGCCCAAGCGGGAAGGGTGGCCAGCCGTCGGAATGTCCCCGGGCCGAGCCGAGGGAAGGAGGGGGAGGGAGGGGGAGAGGGAGGAAGAGAGGGAGGGAGGAGGCAGGCGTGGTGCGGCAGCATGGGAAGGAGGACCAGGATGGTGAGGATGAGGATGGGGTGAGGATGGGGTGAGGATGAGGATGAGGATGGGGATGAGGATGAGGATGGTGATGATGCTGATGTTGATCATGACGCTGATGATGATGCTGATGATTATGCAGATGGATATGATGATGCTGGTTGTGATGATGATGATGATGATGCTGATGATGCTGATGATGATGACGATAATGCTGATGATGCTGCTGCTGATGATGTAGATAGTGATGATGACGATGATGGATATGATGATGATGCTGCTGATGATGATGATGACGATGCTGGTGGTGGTGATGATGCTGCTGATGACGATGCTGCTGCATATGAGGACAATGGTGATGACGATGGCGATGACGATGATTCTGCTGCTGCTGATGATGATGATGCTGATGCCAATGCTGATTATGGTGATACTTATGATGATACTGATGATGACGCTGCTGATGATGCTGCTACTGATGATGATACTGCTAATGCCGATGTATATGGTGATTATGGTGATTATGATGAAGAATCTGGTGGTAATGACATGGTGATGACGATGTTGATGCTGCTGATGGTGATGGTGATGGTGATGGTGATGATGATGCTGCTGATGATGCTGATGCTGATGATGATGCTGCTGATGATGATGGTGATGATGATGATGATGATGATGATGATGATGATGATGATGATGATGATGATGATGAGGACGAGGATGCTGATGAGGATGCTGATGAGGATGAGGATGATGATGATGATGATGATGATGATGATGATGATGATGATGATGATGCTGCTGATGCTGATGATGATGCTGAGGAGGAGGAGGAGGAGGAGGAGGAGGAGGAGGAAAAAGAGGAGGAAAAGGAGGAGGGCGTCGGATAGACACTCATGCCATCAGCAAGCAGCAAGCAGGAGGAGGGCAGGGCGAGGAGGGGAGGAGGAGGAGAAGGATGATGATGATGAGGAGGAGGAGGAGGACGAGGAGGAGGAGGAGGAGGAGGAGGAAGAGGAGGAGAAGGACGCGGCGACGACGAACGTCGCCGGGAGGCCGTCCACGCAGGTGCCGCCGCCGGCGTGGCCGCCGTTCTCGGACTGCGCGTAGCCTTCGAATGCGCTGGTGCTGTAGGCCTCGGAGCGCGCCGCCGCGCTCCGAGGCCCCGACGCGCCAGCGGCGGGGAGGCTTCCTCCCCCAAGGGGGGGGGGGAGAGGGGGAGGAGGACGGGCAAGGAGGAGGTCCTCCAGGTCACTCCAGGCGGAGGCCCTCCTGGGGAGAGGGGGGAGACCCGCTTCGAAGTGAGGAGGAGGAGGAGGAGGAGGAGGAGGAGGAGGAGGAGGAGGATGAGGAGGGAGAGGGAGAGGAGGAGAAGGAGGAGGAGGAGGGAGAGGGAGAGGAGGAGAAGGAGGAGGAGGAGGAGGAGGAGGAGGAGGAAGAAGAGGAGGAGAGGGAGGAGGAGGAATAATATTCTGGTGTATTCTGCTGGTCAGACCTGGTAAGCTGCGCAACACGCAGACTGGTAACGAACCAAACCGCCCCTACCCCTGGGCCTGTCCTGGGCGACCAGGTCTGATCTTCCAGATTGTAGCTGATCGCGCGCAGTCCAGCCATCTCTTCCTCATGCCGTTGTTCTCACGTGGCGAGAAAGGCCCAGCCGCGGCGACAAGGAACACCGAGGGGGGCTTGGGCACCGCCTGGCGGTTGGCGCATCTGTCGCCCCACGTCCTTCTGCAACATCGCCCTCTGCGGCGGCCTGTTGAACGCCTTGGCGCACGCCGCCACCTGCTGCCTTCCGTGAGACAACTTGCCATTTCACACGAGCTGACCCCAAGGTTGTAGCTGTACTTTCTGCTGCGCGCAGTGCCAACCCCGCTGCCACTGCTTGCTCCTCTCGCACTGCCAGCTTTCACTGCCACTGCTCGTCATTTTCGCACGAGCTGAACTCAGCAACGCGGTAGCTGATTAGGTGTTCTTACTGCGCCAGCGGGCACCGACAACTACAGCGGCCACTGCTTGCTTTCTCGCACCAGCGCTGCTGCCACTGCCTGCCTTCTTGCACTGCCAGTCCCTGCTGTCACTGCTCTCCTGCACGAGCTGATCCCATCAGCCTTGTACCTGCTGAGTTGTTTTTGCCTCGCTATTCGCGGCACCGACAGCCAGTGCTGACACTGCGTGCATTCTCGCACCGACGGACGCAGCCACTGCTTGCCTTCTCGCAAGACCTGACCTGCGCTGCAGTGTAGCTGAAGAAGTTGCTCTTTCGTGGTCGTTTGGCAACGACAGACGCTGATGTCAATGCCTGCCTTCTCGCACCGACGGACCCGGATGCCCATGCGTACATTATCGCACGAGCTGACCCCCGCTGCGATGTAGATGAAGGTATTGCTCCTGCGTGGCCACTTGGCAAAGGCACCCGTTGCTGCCACTGCCTGCCTTCTCGCACCGACAGGCCATGCTGCCACTGCCCGCCTTCTCGCACGAGTTGGCCCCCGCTGTTCTGCTGCTGGAGGTTCTGCTCCTGCGTGGCTGCTTTCTCGCCTTCTGGCATTGACAATGCCTGCTGCCACTGCCTGCTTGATCGAACTGCTTCTTCTGTGGCGCCTCCCGCACGAACCGGCCCTGGACGGCTTCCCCCGGGGCCGTGGGCGACCCGAGGAGGAGGAAGAGGAGGAGGTGGAGGAGGACGAGGCGGAGGAGGGAGGAGGAGGAGGAGGAGGAGGAGGAGGAGGAGGAGGAGGAATGGGAATGGGAATGGTCAAATCGCGAAGCGAAAGAATTAATTAAGGAGGGATGCGGCCTCTGGCTCGTTGCTCCGACAACGACAAAAGCTTTGGCCAGAGCCCATCCTCGATCCTGCTTAAATGATATTGTCGGGGTTTGCTGGTTCTATGTAAACACTCGGGTGCAAGCCGTCGGATCTGATCGGAGGAATCATATCCGCAGGCTCAGCAAAACCAGAACTTCAAGGTTTCATGAAACCGAAAGTTATGAGAGGAATGCAGCCACCCCCCCGCTCGATGGACTTTACACCCTGGAAGTATACTTGAAACAACACCGTCTACATGCTGCTGAGAAAAGCATGGCGTTTTAAGCCAATCATTGAAACATTTTTGGCCGCGGACCCCTTACATCTCGTACACTGGCGGCCACTATCGTCAAGGGTATGCTTGGTACAGAACGTCGCCACGGTCGAGGGGGCAGGCGGAATGACACGACATTTCTCGAACTCACGCTTCGGCCGCGGGTCGACGCTCATGGCGTCCATCGCGGCCCGCAAAAGCCTTCGCCTCACCAACTCTGCTCTCTTTTCCTGGACTGCAGCGCGTGTGCGCACAAAATCAGGCAGCCTGTATTCCTTGGCTGCCTTACCCGCCAGCTCGTCCGCTCGCTTGCTGCCGTGCCACATCCAAGGCGCATGCCCTCGCTCTGCTGCTTCAACTTCCGACAAGTGTGAACTCATGAAAATGACTGAAACTCGGCCGTGTCGAGATCCAGCTGCTTGCATATGTCGACCGATGGCTTGCCACAGATCAACGTCCGATTGTGCTTCACGAGGGCGAAGGTAGACTCGAGAACTCCAGCCTTTTCTCCACCCCCTCGTTGTCAGTGAGATACACGGCCGCGCCCTGAGTGCATCGGAGGACATACTCTAGCACGGCCAGCTCGCCTCTATATACTGTCTGACGGCGCCCGCTCAGTGGTGAGCGCGCCTCTAAGCCAAAAGTAATTGGCTCACGCTGCTCGATGATGGTGAAGCCCATGCCGACGCGGAGGAGGAGGAGGATGAGGAGGAGGAAGAGAAGGGAGGAGGAGGAGGAGGGAGGAGGAGGAGGAGGAGGAGGAGGGAGGGAGGGAGGGGAGGAGGAGGGAGGAGGAGGAGGAGGAGGAGGAGGAAGAGGAGGAGGAAGAGAGGAGGAGAGGGAGGAGGAAGAGGAGGAGGAGAGGAGGAGGAGGAGGAGGAGGAAGGAGGAGGAGGAGGAGGAGGAGGAGGAGGAGGAGGGAGGAGGGGAGGAGGAGGAGGAGAGGAGGAGGAGGAGGAGGAGGAGGAGGCGGAGGAGGAGGAGGAGGAGGACGGGTCGCCTAAGCACTTCGGAGAAGCCCTCCCAACTGGCCCAAGCACTGTTGCTGATGACGTTGGCTCGCGCGTTCTCGCCGCACGGACCGTCCCCAACACTGTGGCTGGTGTTGTTTGTGCTCTGGGCTGGCCTTCCTTCGCCTGCGTTCGCACGCACCGCTCCCAGCACTGAAACTGTTGATGTGCTGCTCCAGCTTCCTCATACCTGTCTGCACCTTGGCAGCGGCGCCGCAACTGGCGCCACTGCCTGCCACGGGGTGGAGGAGGGGCGGGAGGAGGGGCGAAAGGAGGAGACAACGGAGCGTGCCACGTCTCGCGCCGGATCTCGGCATTGCGGCTGATGACGTGGGGCGCCGCGCTTGGTGATGTCGGCTCCCGCGTACAAGGCGATCTCGAAGCTTGCCCGCGAAATGGCTACTCTTATAGTAGGTCTAGGATGGCGAGGAGGAGGGCGAGGAGAAGATCGTCCAAAGGCAGACAGAGGCAGCGGATGCCGCCTCCTCCTCCTCCTCTTTCCTCCTCCTCCTCCTCCTCCTCTTTCCTCCTCCTTCTCCTCCTTCTCCTCCTCCTCCTCCTCTTCCTTCCCCCAGCGATGGCCTCCTCCCCCACTTCCCCCAACGATGGCCTCCTCCTCCTCCGCCGCCAGCGATGGCCTCCTCCTCCGACTCTTCTTCCAATTTCTCCTCTTCCTCCACCTCCTCTCCCTCCTCCCCCCCCCGTCTTCTCCTTGCCCTTCCTCCACTTCGATTCTCTGGTGGACGTGGGAGGGGGCAGAGCGGGAGCGGGAAGGGGGGGGGGGGGCGGGCTGAAGAGGAGGAAGGGGTCCAGAGACACACACCGAAATAGATACACATCCCAGGAGGCCCGCCCCATAATTTCCGTATGTTCTGGATGTCAGTCGTCCCCTCCGCTTCCCATGTTTTCCATCTCTTCCAAGGAATCGACGATTAGCTGTGTCTGTGTTGCTTTTCTTCCAGAGGAGGAAGGAGGGCGGGAGTATGTATGGAGGACACCGCGGCGGGCGATCGTCCGACAGCTCCCGCTGCCAAGTCTACCCCCCCCGAGACCCCTCCCTTCTCTTTATCCGCGTCCTCCTGCTCGCCTCGTCCTGCTTCGCTTTCCCCTTCGCCTCCTCATCTTCCTGCGCACCGCGCATCCTCCCCGCCGTCCTCCTCCTCTTCCTCCCCTCCCCATCCTCCACCCCTCCTCCTGATTCTTCATGCTCTTCTCTCTCCCTTTGTCACCAATGTCTCTCTTATTGGCTCCCCCTGTTCCTTCCTACCCATCTCCCTCTTCTTCTTGATCCTTTTCCTTCCTGACAGACTGTCGCCACGACATCAAAACTTGCCAGTGAACCCTTGAACGGGGATAATGCCCAAGTTAATGTCTCTCACTACGGGGACAATAGCTTGCGCAGCTGTGCCGCACCTCTCGCTCGCTTTGATCTAGCGCGCAGCAGCCACAAACCCATCCCTAACATGGCAATTCCCTAACTAAACCCATGATCTGTCGACACTGCGTCAAAGCTAGCCTGACCCATTAAAGCTAACGTGACCAACGGATCGGCGACACCAGTGTGTCACGCGCGCGAGCGCTGTAGCAAATGATGCACCATAGTGGGGCGACACTGCAACATGCAATGCAACAGTGCCAGCTGCATCACTCATCCATTTTCGTCTCCAAATAACGACGCCACAGGCGCCTAAGCGACAGCAGCATTTTCAATCAGAGATGCGGCCACGCACAGGCGAGGACAAAGCGCTCAATGAAGGATGTCGCTAACGCCGAGGCGACAACAACAGTTTAAATCAGAGATGTGGCCCAAGACGGAACATCATTCCGAGAACGTGCCGCCAGAATGCAAGTGTCAGGCCCATTCCGCGCGGGCCGAGCTCGGTGCCACTGAGGTCCGGGTTACGTTGGGTGGGCAGCCCACGTTAGGGGGGTGTAGTTTATGTATGTTCACCCTGGATTAAAAACAAACTGTCGCCAACCCCTCCAGTTACTCCCCTCCCTTCTCCTTCTCCTCTTTTCCTTTTTTTCTCTCCGTTGCTATGCTTTCCTCCCCCCCAAAACACCCCGTGGGTAAGCGCTAGGTCGCAGGCTCGCACGTGCCATGAGCTTGCGTCCGCCCCCTGCCAGGCCTTGATGACAGCATGCTGCCTGCCGACGAGGAGGGTGACGAGGATGAGGGAGGATGGCGCGGAGGGAGGAGGGTGGATGATGGTGAGGCAGGAGCGTAGAGGCGGAGGAGGATGATGATGACGAGGGAGGGTGATGTAGCTGAGGGGAGGGAGTGGGATGCAACAAAAGCGGCGAGGGACGATGATGCTGATGGTGGCGAGGAGAAGGGTGACGAGGAGGAACTTAATTAACAACTTCGCCGAAACTGACAACGACCACCGCCGATTCGTCAACGTCTAAACTGCACGCCGACCATAAAAGAAACGCACAAGCCATGCCTCCGTGATGACTTTCACGGCGCAATGCGACGCACGTCCAACAAGAAGGGCCAACCTACCCACGGCGAGGACTTCGCCGGCGACGTCGCCGTCGAGGCCCGACGCCGACTTCGTCGGCGCGGCCTCCTCGGCGCCCGCCGCCGCGAGCAGTGGGCCGACCCGCGGCGAGGACTTCGCCGGCGACGTCGCCGTCGAGGCCCGACGCCGACGCCGTCGGCGCGGCCTCCTCGGCGCCCGCCGCCGCGCGCGCGCGACCGCCAACTCGCGCGCAGCCCCCACGGCCGCGCCCTGCGCGCGCCCTCCGGCCCGAGGCCGTGGCGGCGGTCCGCCCCAGCCCGGCGCCACAGGTGGTGCCGCACTGCCGCGCGCTGCCGCGCACTGCTCTCCGCGCCCCCGCCCGCCGCCGAGCAGGCCCAGAGCCCGCCTGCCCGAGCCCGCGCCCTCGTCGAAGCCTGCCGGCGCCGACGCGCCATCGCTCGGGCGTCCGTTTCCCGTGCATTTTTCGGCTTCGTGCGTGTTTTTTTGCTCGATGGACCAGGATGGTCCTCGATGGTCCTCGCCGAGAAAAAAAATGCACACGTCCCAGCGATGCCACCCCGCTGGCCCGCCCAGAGCCGTCGACGGCCTCCTCTCCGGCTGCTCTGCCGGCACCCCGCGCGCAGCGCGCCGGGCTGTGCAGTCCGGGCCCCCCCCGGCGGAGCGGCCTGCTGCAGCCCTCGGCGCCGGCGGCCCGCAGCGGGGCCCCCCCGGGCCTCGCAGCCCCTCGGCGCCGGCGGCCCGCAGCTCCTCCGGGCACCGCCCGCCAGATCACCGGCGGGGCACGGCGCGGCGCCGCTGCGGGCCGCGAGCGCGGCGACCACGTCCGCATCCACGAGGAGGAGGAGGAGGAGGAGGCGGAGGAGGAGGAGGAGGAGGAGGAGGAGGAGGAGGAGGAGGAGGAGGAGGAGGAGGGAGGAGGAGGAGGAGGAGGAGGGAGGGGGGAGGAGGAGGAGGAGGAGGAGGAGGAGAGGAGGAGGAGGCGGAGGAGGAGGAGGAGGATCCCGGGATGCGCGACCGCACGGAGAAGTGCCTTCCGCACGGGGCGCGCGCGAAAAAACGCCCCACGCCCGCGCGGGGGCCGCGGTCCGGGGGGGCCCGGCCCGCGGGGCCGCGGACCCGGGCCCCCGACGTCCCGACTTCTTCGCCCCGTCGGACCCCCGTGAGGTCTCGGCTAAAGTCGGGCCTGTCCCCCTACAGGGGGATTTTCGACGCAAAATAAAACATACCCCCCAAATAATCAAAAAATCATGCAAAAATAGGCCGGGGACTATTTTTTGAGCATTATTTGGCAATTTTTGACTATTTGTTGAAAATCCCCCTGTAGGGGGAGTATGAGGAAGGGTCCCAGACCCCCTCGGGCCATGAAACAACCATGACGTGTTTTTCCGCTATCTTCGGCTTCTGGGGGCCCTCGCTGGGCCCCGGGACCGTCAGACACCGTCTCGGGACCATGAGCACGGATATCCCGGGAAGGGCTTCAGACATCTCGGGGTCGGCGTCAGGAGAAGCTCATGGCGCCGGGGGTCCGTAGCTGTAATATTATTGTCAAAAGACGTGAAGGAACCGACTGCTCGTCATCCTCCTCCTCTTCCTCCTTCTCCCCCTCCTTCTCCTCCTCCTGCTCCTTCTCCTCCTCTTCCTTAGGAGGAAGAGGCCTGGGGCGGTGCGATGGGGGCGGAGGACGAGGAGGGCCTGGACACGTCCTGGATGCCGGGGTTGTCCAGCACGAGGTCCAGCGTCGGGTCCAGCTCCCTCCTGCCGCCGCGGCGGCCCGGGGCCTGTCTTCTGCCCCTCCTCCTCGCGCTTCTCCTCTTCCGTCCCATTCCCCCCTGCTGGGTTGCGCCATCTCCTCCTCCTCCTCCTCCTCCTCCTCCTCCTCCTCCTCCTCGTCCTCCTCCTCCTCCTCCAGCTCCACCTTCTGCTTCTTCTTCCTGTAAGTTTTTTCAGAAGTCCTGGATTTCGACACTTGATCGAACGGGGGGGGGAAAAGGGGGGTCGGGGTCTGGGCCAGTGCAGCGTCGATCCGTTTGTCACAGTCGCGCGAGCAGACTGGGGGGTTGGGGGGCCTGACCAGTCGCCGAAAGCAGCCAACGACAAAGGGTGGAGGCCGGGGGCGCGCACCGATCGGCAAAACAGCGAACAAGAAGCATCTACCTTGTGCTTGTTACTGCTGCTTCTCCTCCTCCCTCCTTTTGCCTGCGCCAGTCGCGCTCCTCCTTCCTCTCCTCCTCCCTCCTCCTCCTCCCTCCTCCTCCTCCTCTCTCCTCCTCCTCCTCACCTCCCTCCCTCCCCTCTCCTCCTCCTCCCCTCCTCCTCCTCCTCCTCCTCCTCCTCCTCCTCCTCCTCCTCCTCCCTTCCTCCTCCGCCTCCTCCTATTCATCCCCCTGCAACTCCTCCCTCCTCCTGCTGACGTGGTTCCGCTCCTCCCTCTCCCTTCTCATCACCCCTCCCGTTCCTTCTCCCTCTCCTCCTTCCCTTTTGCGTCCTCCTCCTCTTCCTCCTCCTCCTCCTCCTATTTGCGTCCTCCTCTTCCTCCTCCTCCTCCTTCCCTTTTGCGTCCTCCTCCCTCCCTTTTGCGTCCTCCTCCTCTTCTTCCTCGCGCACGGCCGTCGCCGCACGGACTTTCGGGACCTCGGGTGCCCCCAAACACTCTCGGATTATAACGACCCAGGTCCCCAATCCGTGCGGCCACCACACGGTGTGGACATCGCATCGCTTGGGGGCCACCGAGAGGAGGAGGATGATGATGATGAGGAGGAGGAGGAGGGGGAGGAGGAGGAGCAGGAGGAGGAGGAGGAGGAGGAGGAGAAGATGGAGGAGGAGGAGAAGATGGAGGAGGAGGAGGAGGAGGAGGAGGAGATGGAGGAGGAGGAGGAAGGGAGACAAAAAAAGGGAGGAAGAGAGGAAGGGAGGAAGCGAGGAAGGGAGGGATGATGGAAGAAGGAGGAGGAGAAGTGGTTTGTTTCGAGCAGCGTGGTTCACAGGCGTGGGCCGCAGCAGCCACGCTTCCATGTCCCTAACGTCGCCGAACAAGCTATGCGTGACCTTGTCGCTCCTCGCGTGATCAGCGTTCTTCGGTTTCCCCAGATTGTCCGAGGATCCGACTGGTGCCGGCGATCTCTCTTGTGAAGACTGCGAGGCCGCCGGCGGTGCGACAAGTGTGCGTCCGACCGCGCCCACCTGCGCGCGCCCACTGCAAGAGCCGACCTGGGACAGGCGGCGCTGGACTTCCTCGTTTTGCTGGCCGCGCCTCCTGAATCGCCAAGCGTGCGCGTGATGATGAGCTTGGCCCGTGTAGCTCGTCGTGCGCAGCGCGTCGCTCCAGCGATCGTACCGCCGTGCGTGCAACAGATACCACAGCCTCCGCAGTTGTGGATACAATTGGGTTTGACTGGCGAGGACACACGACAGGACACAAGACCTTTCCGAAAGCCATCTTGTCATACGAATGGTGTAGAAGGCATGTCTCGCGAAACACAGGACACAGGGGCACCCTTGATTCGGCAGAGTCGACCTACTAATCAACATCGACTGTAAGAATGAGGGGGCGGGGGGCGATCGTCGGCAGTCTGCGAAGCTCGAAGACAAATCGAACCCGCCGCCGCCAATTTTATGTCACGAAACGGGCCCGCCGCAGGTGCCGACTTGTCGTCAAAGCAATATGGGAGGTTCGCGGGTGGGCCGTCGCGGGCGGGTCGCAAGTGGGTCGCGGGTGGGTCCCAGGTCTGTTGGTCGCGGGTCGGTCGCGGGCGAGGACGACGACAACAAGACAACAACGACGACAACAACAAATCCAACAACAACCACCACAACAACAACAAGATCAACACCAACAACATCAGCACCAACAACAACCACAACAACAACATCACCAATCATATTAAGATTGATCGCTCTTATCTGCTCGCGTGCTACTAACATGTGTATCCCAAACTGTCGATACCCGCCCTCATCGTCTTCGATCGTAGCCCCCCTTGGGGGTATATGTTCCCTACTTGCCACGTGCAGTTGGCACAATCCCAAGGACTGGGGAAGGGAGGGGGATGGATGGGACCAGGGGGTGGGAGAAGGATGGAACACGACAGACGGGGTTCGGAACAACAAAATAAAGGCCGGAACCAGACGGTCGGGTCAAGAGGGCGGGCCGCTGAAACATCGGTCCTACAAGACTCACGACGAAGTCTCGAGCGACAGCGCGAGTCCTAACAAAATGATGAGGAAGTTCAAAGAAGGAGCTTGCTTCCTGAGTGTCGAGGTCGGGGCGTTATCAAAAATTGCGGGCGAGTCCCACGCGAAAGCGCCAGTCTTGTGGACTGTGAGGACGGTCCCGCGCGAGAGCGCGATTCCGAATAAATTGAAACAGTATCCGGCGGGAGCCGCGGTTGTGGCAGTTCGAGGGCCAGGGGCGCCACTTATTGTGAGCCCCGAGGCCAGGAAGCAAGCCCCGAGAGGAAAACGTCAACTGAAAAACGCAGTGTGCACCAGAGGGGGGGATCAAACAAGCCCCAACGATTTTTCTGGTCAATGGCGCGGAAGACAGCACGCGCTGCGGCCCCACCGAAGGTGCTGCCCTGGCCTCAAGTCGCGTGCTCGTCACACGGCTCAGGTGTCGCCCCCCTCTGTCTGATCACGCGGTCTTCAGCCCTGAGGCGCCGAACAGCGGGCTCGGCGCGAGGACGAGCGAAGAGACCAAATCAAGCGCGCACGCGCCGGATCCGGAGCTTCTCCAGACAGTGCTCTCTGGACAGCCGCTCGCGGCGCGGGCGCAGCACAGGAGAAGTGCATATTCTTTTGCGACGTGGGCTATGGAGGGGGATGTTCGAATTCAGGCGTTTGTGGGGCGGTCCTTCGCGATTTGGCCGAGCGCGGTGGCCCATGCGGTGATAGCATGGGTGGAAGGGCCCCGTTGCTGGGCCTGCCTGGCACGCGTGGCGGGCCCTCAACGGCGTACCACTGTGCCGTAGCAAGGGGGAGGAGGAGAAGGATGAGGAGGATGAGAATGAGGAGGAGGAGGAGGAGGAGGAGGAGGAGAGGAGGAGGAGGAGGAGGAGGAGGAAAAGGACGATGGGGAGGAGGAGGAGGAGGAGGAGGAGGAGGAGGTGGAGGAGGAGGAGGAAGAGGAGAGGAGGAGGTGGAGGAGGAGGGGGAGGAGGAGGAGGAGGAGGAGGAGGAGGAGGAGGACGAGGAGCAGACGGAGGAGGAGGAGGACGAAGAAAAGGAGAAATGAACGAGGGAATAGGCGCTTGGGGACGTCCGCGTCATAGGCGAGCAGCGGCAGCAGCAGCGTCCGTGTCTTAGTGTAGTCCCTGCGTGAGATGTGCATGAAGGGCGGCGGTTGCGCCCAGGCCTGCCTGAGGGCCACCCCCAGGTTCAGGATGATGGTGATGATGCTGATGAGGAGGAATCTGATGATGCTTATGATGCTGCTGCTGATGATGATGTTGATGGTGATGATGGTGATGATGCGATGATGCTGATGATGATGATGATGAGGAGGAGGAGGAGGAGGAGGAGGGGGAGCAAGAGAAGGAGGAGGAGGAGAACTATTCAATTGCTCTTGAATTAGGTGTGGGGGAATCCTGCAACATATTACGTGCGCGCTAGATGCTGTCAATTGCAAGACGCAAGCACGCGCCCACAGTCCAGTGAGCCGTGTTCCGTGGTAGCAGCGTGGGCGGGCACGCGCCCGCACAGGAAGAAACGGGGGGGCGGGGAGGCGGCAGCAGCTGGGGCGAAGAGGAGGCGGACAAAGAGGAGGGGGAGTTGGAGGAGGATGAGGATGAGGATGAGGATGAGGATGATGCTGATGCTGATGATGATGATGATGATGATGATGATGATGATGATGATGATGATGATGATGAGGATGATGAGGAGGGGAGGAGGAGGAGGAGGAGGAAGAGGGAGGAGGAGGGGAAAACAAGGAGGAGAACGAGGAGGGGATGAGGAGAAACAGGGAGGATAACGAGGAGGGGGAAGCGAAATGGGGATAGGAAGGAGGAAGAGGAGAAAGAGAAAGGAGGAAGAACAGGAGGAGGAGGAGGAGAGGAGGAGGAGGAGAAGGAGGAGAAAGAGGAGGAGGACGACGACGAGGAGGAGGAACATAACCAAGGAACATTATATATAATGATGGGGGAAGAGAACCGGGACGAGGAGGAGGAGGAAAAGGATGATGATGATGATGAGGAGGAGGAGGACAAGGAGGAGGAGAAGGAGGAGAAAGAGGAGGAGGAGAAGGAGGAAGGGGAGGAGGAGGTGTAGAAAAAAGGAGGAGACTGAGGAGGGTGAGGGGGAAGACATTGGGGGAAGAGGAGGTGGCAGAGGATGAGGAGGAGGAGAAGGAGAAGGAGGAGGAGGAGGAGGAGGAGGAGGAGGAGGAGGGGGAGGAGGAGGAGGAGGAGGAGAAGAACCAAGGAGGAGAAAGAGGAGGTTGGGGGTCGAAAAGTGGGGGAGAGGAGGAGGAAAAGGAGGAGAAAACCGAGGACAAGGAGGAGGACGAGGAGGGAGAGGAGGACGAGGAGGAGGAGGAGGAGGACCACTGTAAACCCAAGAATCACGAACGATGTTGGATTAAGCCCTCCCCTCAAACTTCCTCTTCGTAGGCCCCATACAGCGGTTCATTTCCACAGAGGGACTTGCCTCGTTGGAAAACAACCGTTTGAAGACCCTGAAGCATGCCAGAACATGGTTCTCGGCATTCCAGTGCCACGGATAAACGGGGCTTTGCTTCTTGACGATCTTGAATCGTGCCAGAACGCCATTCCTGGGACGTCAACACCGTGATTCATCGTAGTTGTCGCGCCCTCAGAATCGTGAATCCTTACAAAACACCATTTCTAGTACGTCGAACATGGGAATCAGCGAAACTCTTTATTTGTTTGAAAAATGTGCGCGGCGCTGATGCGAACACCACAATTTGAAAACGACCCGCCTTCAATCCGTGAGACTCTTGCAAATTTACAGCGCGAATGTGCGCGGCGCTAATGTGAAAACCACATTTTGGAAACGACCCGCCCCCAATTCGTGAAGCCCTTGCACATTTTGAAAACGACCGTGCGCGGCGCTAACTCGAGAACCGCATTTTGAAATCAACTCGCCCTCAACACGTGAAGCTTTTGCAAAATACGAGAAGAAATATGCGCGGCGCTAAAGCGAAAACCGCAATTTGAAAACGACCGGCCCTCAATCCGTGAAGGTCTTACAAACTTTAGAAGAACAATGCGCGCGGCGCTACGGCGAGAGCCACATTGTGAAAACGGCCCGCCCTCGTTCTGTGACGCTGTTGCCACTGTTTAAGTTTCAGAGTCATAGTTGGTGAGGAAGTCGCAGGCGAAACGCCCGGCCCGCCCTAGAAACTGGGCCCGGGGTGCGACAGGGAGGAATCATTTATAAGGAGCAGGAGTGGAGGAGAACGAGGAGGAGGAGGACGTGGAGGAGAAGAAGGAGGAGGACGAGGTGGAGGAGAAGGAGGAGGACGAGGAGGAGGAAGAGGAGGAAGAGAAGGAGGGGGTGCGCAACCAACTGAAGGAAGGGGAGCGACAGGTCCAGGTCAGAGACGCGTAGGGGGGGTTGGAACATGGGGGGCGCGGGCGAGCGGGGGCCCACCAACAGGGCGCCCCCATCCAAAGCTGGCACGCCTCGGGGGCGAGGAAGAGGTTTCCCCCCCGAAGGCGTCGACGATGTTTGCTTCGCTGCCGTTCCGAGAGCGGAGGGCGACGAAGGAACGAGGGAGGAGAGGAGGAAGACGAGGCCGAGGGGGAAGCAACGGCGGCCCCCAAATCGCAGAAGCGACAACGCGGGATAACAGGAAACGAAAGGGGAGGCGACATAACGAAACAAGGCGACAGGAGGCAAAACGACAAGAAAAATGCGGGTCTTAAACCTCGACTTGGGGGCGAAGCCGCCGAACACCACATATTCTCAAGAAGCAAGCCGGGTCGCCGACGTCGCCGTCTACCACCTACTTCCCAAGAGGCAACCTGGGACGCCGGAGCCGAAGCACGCCACTGCCCAAGAGGCAATCTAGGTAGTCGAAACACTTGTCCGCCAAATACCTCCAAGAAACAATCTGGGACGCCGAAGCCGACGCACACACGCCACATACTGTCCAACAGACATTCTAGGACGCCGACGCCGCTGTCCACCGCGAGCTTCCCACAAAACATTCTGGGTTGCCGAAGCCGTATCACATCCCACTCGCCCAGTAGACAAGTACACTATAATGTCCTCCACTCCGTGGCCATTCGCGCCCCTAATGCAGCTGTCCGGCGCGCGTCAAGAGCCATCTTCTCCACCATCATGCCGTCCCACTGCGGCGCGCTAGAAAGGTTACCACATTCGCGGAGGAGGTTTTCAGGAAAGACCTCCAAACCCAAAGGCGTCGTGATCACGAGCATGAGGCCACCGCAACCTGCCCACGATAAAAAGGTCTCCAAGAAGCGTGGCGTAGCGTCCGATGAACCGCAAATTGTGCCAGTTGTAGGTGCCTGCGCAAGCTCCACAGCGACTCATCTACCTCATCCGTCGGAACTTCACCAGGCCGCGCAATCTTTCGTGTAATCCGCCCAAGGTTCGCTTCGGCACCAGACTCGACACCCACAAGGACGCCAGCAGTCCAACGCCCTTCCTCTTCAATCCACGGGAGGCTGAGGCTGAGGCTGCGCTTGTGTCGTCCCAGGGGGGACGGCTCTATGTGGGGCTAGGCGGTGGCGCCGGGGCGCCTGCATCACTCGAACGTCTCATAGTCGGATATATGAAAATTGTGGGCGGGGCCGGAAAAATGGGAGCCGGAATCGGAGAGATTTGAGCCGGAGTCGGAAAGCTGGGAGCCGGAGACGGAAAGTCGGGAGATGGAGTCGGCGAGACACCATTGATGGGGGCTACTATCACACTCAATCGCGCAAAAACATCCCATCATTGGTTCGGAAGGAGGAGGAGAAGAAGGAGGAGGAGGATCATATCCAGGGGTGGGTGCAGGACAGGGGCGGCGCCCTAGCTGCAGTCTTTGACACGAAGAAGGGGGTTGGGCGTCCCACGGCTGCAACCCCCGCAGGGGCGAGCGGGCCAAGATGATAGGACCCCCCCCTCGAGGCAACGCGGCTTCTCGCCGAAGAACAAGAGGCTACGCTGTGCGCTGTGTGTGGCGCGCCCGATCCCAGAGCGGTCGACGGCACCAACTAGGCTGCCTGGCCTGTGCGCCTTTGGGGGCATGGACCCACCAGGTGCTAGGCGTACCGGAAGAGGGTCGAGATGAATGGGGGGACGCATGGAAGGGGGAACGGGGGTGAGACAAGCATGCGCCCTCGAGCCCGCTGAAGGGCGGAGAGGAGGAGAGCCTGCTCATGACCACCGCCCCCTCACTTCCCCACGTGCCTTCCCCGAGTCGTGCGGCGAACTCGCCGCCATCCCATTCCCAACGATAGTACCCATCAGAACCGACCCATCCTTCCCATAGCGGATGCTGCCTGTAGCGGGCGCAGCGCCGCGGTCCTGCTGCGGCCCACCTGCGTGTAGGCGCAGAGCTTGTGCACCCTGCCTTGGAGCACGAGGGGCGGCACGGGCTGCTCACGTGCCCCCTTTGCGTCTCCTCCAGACAACGGAACCCCGCCTCCATCCCTCCTCCCCCTCCTCATCCTCCTCCACCCCTCCTTCCCCTCCCTTCCCGCCTTTTTCCTCCACCCTTCCCTCTCTTCCTCTTCCTCTTCCTGCTCCACTTCCTCCTCTTCCTCCTCGTCATTATCTTATTCCTCCTCCTCCTCCTCCCTCCCTTCGCCTCCTTTTCCTCCATCCTCCCTCCTCGTCCTCCTCCACCCCTCCCCCACCTCTGATCCATCCCTGCTCCTCCTCCTGCTTCCTCCTCCTCCTTCTCTTTATCCTCCCTCCTTCACCCCTCCTCCTCAACCGCCCCTCCTGCCCGGGGCGAGCGTCGAACCCAGCTACCGTCAGGCTCGAACGACTCTTGGTGGGGTCGTCCAGCGGAGCGCCAGACGAACGACGGGGCGGGCGAGGTTCAGCTCGCCCCACCTCCGAGCGACGCAGTGAGGCGGGCTGCGCCTTCCTCACCGTTTGTGTAACACAGGCCAGTCAGACACGCTCCTGCTTGGCCATCGAGCGAACCTGGCGGGGCTCCGAAAGGCGCTCCACGCTGAGAGGCCTTCACGAAACGGGGTCCCAGCAGATGGGGTCGGAGGATCGCGCCGCATCGCCCTCCATCGGCGGTCGGCGATGCATCGGCAGCGCCGGCGCGGAGAACGTCGGGCCCCACATCGAGTTGCACCCCCGATGCTGCGTCGGCGACGCAGCGCGATCCGCCGACCCCATCTAATTACTCGAACCCTGTTTGAGAGGCCCGAGGCCCAAAACAGCAAACACGAGGGAAGAGCAACGGTAATAGTACAGGGCAGTTTCTAATACATCTGATTTTCTGTTAAAAATATCGGATGTTTAATACATGATTAATTCAATAATAAAATTATGCATCAGCTCGTCGTTGTTTTTAATACTAATTCCCTGCATTTTTGATACATGATCCGCACGCGGAGCATGTATTAAAAACGGCACTGTATCCTTTCCTCCTCAGAGCCTACGGCCCGGTCATGCTTGGCCCCTCTGCGTGCAGAGCCAGAAGGCACCAACAGTTGGGAAACGGAGCAGTACCGATGCCGCTACTTCCCGGACCTCTCCCGGGGTGCGTTCTGACCAGGATTTGGAGGCGAATCCAGCGGTGGCGACGAAGGCCTCCCAGGAGGCCCAAACAGGCGAAAACGCAGGACGGGTAGCAGTATGGGTACCTTTTCTGATTACCCCTAACCCTTTAGAAGGGGGCCTCAGTTAGGAGGGCCGAAAACAGTAGGGATAGGGGGTCTTCCTGCAGGTGTATCGAACCAGACCGTCCAGACTTCTGATTCATAGTGCAAAGACGGGGACTCACGTGAGGCCACGTCTTCTGTGTGTTATCAAGTTTCGGGGTTCCTTTATTTTCGATTATTTTCCTCCTCGATGCTAGTTTTCGATGATGCCATTTTTGCTCTCGGTGATAGTCCAAAACCCGGTTAGCGAGGCGCCAGGAAGGCCTTCGAAGAGCTCTCGAAGGAGTTACGGATGCTCTTGGACAGAGCTTCCGAAGGAACTTCTGGAAACCTTCTGGACACCCGCATTGAGAACCAATGCGAACACAAACAACCTCCCGAAACATATCACAACTCCACGAAGGCGCAGCGGGGATTCTGGACGGAAGCCAGAACGAGCTCCAGGTCTACCCTGCGGTGTCGGCTTCTCAGCGAGCCATCCGAGAAGAATTCCATAGCCCGGGCGTCGTGGACGCCCGAATTATCCGGGATATCCGCTGTGCGGGGTCACTCCGGTTGGGGTCCCCGAGGCGCGAATCTGTACTTACCCCTGCCTGCCCCAAACCCTGACGATTCGGGAGGGTTGGACGCCCGAATGATCCGTGACAACCGTGGTCCGGAATCACTCCGGTCTGGGCCCCCGAGGCGCGGATCTGAAGTTATCCCTGGCTGCCCCCAGCCCTGCTGCTTCGGGAGGCTTGCGCGCCCCAAGTCTGAGAGCTTTTGCTCCGCGTGTCGCGGCGGCGGCCCGCCGCGACACGCCATGCCCTGCGAGCGGAGGGCGCGTCGCTCCGCTCCGCGGGGCGGGAGGCTTCCGAAGGCTCGGGGCGTGGACGCCTGGGGACCGGGTCGTGGACAGCGTGTCGCGCCGAAGCGCGGTGAGCCAGAACCAGCGGCGCGACACGCTATGTGGGGAACCGAACTCTGTACACCAACGCGTTTTCCGGCCCTGCACTGGAGCTCTCCCAAGAAAGCGGATCCTGGTGTATACGGGGTCCTGGTGTACACATTTTTCTTTGTTTCCCTGAGGAAGCGTGGAACACGTATACACCACACCACCCCGACGTCGTCCCCGACCTTCCAAAAAGCTCTGGGAATGAAAGAGAGCCCGCCACTGGTAATGCACATGTTCCAGCTTCCAGCTATGCCCTGCAAGCGGATGGCTCGGCGGGAGGCGGGGAAAACCTCCCGTCGTGACAGCGCGGGCCCCCCCCGAGCTTCTGCCCGCCGACCGCGCCTGTCTCCAGCGACCGGAGCTGGAAGGGCACCGGCTGCCGGTCTTGCAGCGTCACGTGCTTGCCGGGATCCTTCGGCGGCGACGCCGGAGAGGGAGGAGGGCCCAGACAAATTATTCGGCGGCGAGCGCGGGGGGGAAGGGAGACGGGGCGGGCCTTCTCAGGGGGCTCGGAAGTCCCCCAGCCTTCTGAGAAGTTTCCTAAGCCTCCCCCGAAGACTCCGACCACTTCCCAGAAGGCCAGAGGGCTTCTGAGAAGCTTTGCCGCCTTCTGAGAAGGCCTTCTCCTTCTCACTTCCACTCCAAGCGCACCGCCGAATTTGGTTTTGGGGTCAAAACTCGGGTCCCAGGTGGCCGTTCTGGACGATCCGGGCACCCCCGGAACGTCCTCGGCGAGGCGCAGCTGCTGGCAAGCGGCAAGCATACCGAGGCCAGAAACTTCGCCGAGACGCGACGAAAGCGCCCGAGAACCTCGAACCTCGAAGTTCGAGCCTCTCCTCCTCACGCTCCTCCCCCTCGCTCGTCGCCGACCCGGTGTGCTCGCGCCGTGAGGCCACAGATGCGACGGGAGGATGCGGGTCGCTCTCGGCCCTCCGCGGGCCCCCTTTTTGAGGCCCCGGGGGCCCGTCGAGCAGCGGCTCGGGGTGGAGAGCCAGCCCTGGCCATCGCTCGGACGTCCATTCCCTGTGTTTTTTTTGGTTTCGTGCGTGGTTTTTTCGCCAAATGATCAAGGCTGCTCCTCGATGGCCGTCGCCGAGAAAAAACGCACATGTCCGAGCGATGCCAGGAGCCCTGGGGGGAGGGGGTCTGGGCTTCTCGGGGGCTCTCGTGGAAGCACATCACTGTGCGTCACCGCTACTCTTGTGGCCATGCCATGACAATGGGCACTCCAACAATCCCATAACTGAATTAAAATGTGTCTAAAAAGTATAAAAACGTGTTCTAAGAATGTTTCAAACATGTTATTCCATATTTAGAACATGTTTGAAACATGTTGTGGACATCTGGAAATGAGTTGGCAGCATGCTTCCTCTCCTCTTATAGACTTCCACAAGGGTAAGAAGGGTCTGGGCTTCTCGGGGGCCCCGATTGAAGAACATCACCGCGTGCCGCCGCGCCACTTCTTCTCGACGCGCCCGAGCGGACGACGCCGACACCACGGCAACCCCACGGCAAACCCTACAGCCTCGCGCCCCACGTAGACGACGCTGGCGCCGTGGCAAACCACACGGCAAGTCCCTGCGTCCGGGGCGGAGTCTGCCCTGGTGGCCGCGGCGCCCTCCCCAAGACAGAAGGCCGCGGTCCGCGGCGACACATCGCATGCCAGAGGGTGAAGATGAAGGGGCCCAGGGACACATACATAGATAGACACAAACCCCAGGATCTCCTATCTTTCGCCAGATTTTCTGGATGTCCGTCTCCCCCATCCACTTCCCATGTTTTCCATATTTTCCTGGGGATCGAAGATTACACTCAGGTCGCTGAAATAAGGTACGCTAGATAAGGAACGAAGCCCCTTCTTGGCACCCAACAGCGCCTGGGTGCACGAGGAGGGCTAGAAGTGCAACCACGGACAATAACCAAACGAACAGCGAGCCCCTCCCGAACCCGAAGCACCCTCGCATTCAGCGTCTTGACTGCAATTGTGTCTGTGCTTTTTCCCTCTTGAGAAGAAGGGCAGGGGGTGGGAAGGGGCAGCATGAGCGGCAGAACGGACAGGGCGGGGGGTAGGGGGGAGGAGAGGGGAGGGACTCTGGGCTGGCGGAGGGGCGGCTGCGAGGGGAGAGGCACGGGGGGAAGGAGAGGGAGGGCGGAGGAGCTGGAGCCCGGTGGCGTTGCACTCTGGAGGCCTCTGGAAACTTCAGTCTCCCTGCTCCCTCCTGCTGCTGCTGCTGCTGCTGCTGCATCTGTTCCTCCTCCTCCTCCTGCTCCTGCTCCTGCTCCTCCTCCTCCTCCTCCTCCTCTCACTCCTTCTACTCCTCCTTCTCCTCCTCCTCCTCCTCCTCCTCCTCCTCCTCCCACTCCTCCTCTTTCCTCCTCTTCCACCCCATCCCCCTTCACTACCTCCTCCATACCCCATCTCCTCCAAGAGGGGGACGATGACACCGAAGACGGCGTCGGAGGACGGACGACGACGACGAACGACGGCTTCGGGCGAATGGGCGACGACAGACGACCCGCGACGACGGACCACGGACGACGGCCGACGATTGACGGTGGTCGACTGGCGGACGACGGGCGAACGATGAAGGACGGACAACGCACGACAGCGGACGGCATGCGACGGCAGAAGAATGACGGCCGGGACAGGCGACACAACAACGAGCGAAGGGGGACGACGGCGGGCGCCTGCGGCGGCGGGATGAAGACCTCCACGGCAATCTCTAGCGTAGCGCCCTCACCGCCCTCGCGGGCGGGGCCGCGTGGGGGGGGGGAGGTTCTGGCGGCGGCGGGGGCTCGGGGGGCGGCAAAGGGGTGGCAGTTGGGGGCGTAGTTCGGGAGGGAGGGAGGACGAGTGGGGAGGAGGTAAGCCAGGTGCACTCGCGCCATGCAGTCACCGTGCTGCTCAGCTCAGGAGCGCGAGGGAGCTCTTCTGGCGACGGAGCCCTCGGCCACGACTGGGTTCCCCGACCTGGGTCCCGGGTCTGAGGAACGGCCCGACAAGCAGAGCCCTCCGGAGCCCGAACGAGTCCTTATCTCAGCGTCCTGGCTGCATCCGACGTTCAACCCCTCCCGCCCAGCCCTTCCCGTTGCGCCGAGTCTTTCTCCGTCCGCCGACGGGTGTCACAGCAGACCTGGAGACCCCCCAAAAGGAAGCCATCGTGTTATGTGCAATCGGAGAGGGGAGGGGCTGTGGACATTGGATGAGGGAGGAGGGAGGGAGGGAGGGCGGGAGACGCGGTCGGAATTTCTTTGTGGTTCTCGAAGGTGTCAGGGGATTTCTGAAGTTCTGCGAACCTTGGAAGAGCTTCTGGAGGGAATCAGGGCGAATGAGAGAGATGCGGACGGATGAGGAGGGATGGGGAGGGATGATGATAGAGGAGAGAGGGAGGGAGGACGGAGAAAAGGAGGAGATGCAGGAACGAACGCAGGATGAAGACGGATGAGGATGAGATGATGAGTAGGAGGGGGAAGAGGAGGATGAGGGACAAGGAGTAGCAGCGGCAGCGCGGACTCTTGAAGGAGAGCTTCAGGCCCCAGAGCGAAGATGAAGAGGGGGACGAGGGGAGGAGGGGGGGAGGAGTATGAGCAGGAGCAAGAGGACCAGGGCATGGCAGCAAGAATAGGAGGAGCAGCAGGAGGAAGAAGATGACAGCAGGGCAGGTCCAGATGGGTCCGGATCGGGGCGGGGAAATGTTGGGCAGGGGCAGTGGTGGGGCTGAAGGAAAGTCGGTATCAACGGCCTCAGGAAAAGGACATGTGAGCATCCAGCTGGGCTCAATCCTTAACCCCACCTTGAAGATAATCTCCCCTCTCAGCAGCGTGAGCCTGCGAGGGCGACTTTGGGACCGCATCGGCCGATCGAAGAAGGACTCTCTCGCGCCGCCCCTGCAACTCGAGCGGGAGGAACGAACTGTGAGGAAAATAGTGGTAAGAATACGGCGGGGGCGTTTTTTTTTTTTTTTTTTTTTTTTTTTTTTTTTTTTTTTTTTTTTTTTTTTTTTTTTTTTTTTTTTTTACCTAACAGCGAAGACTGATAGGTTTCTAGTATCTCAAAAGAGCTCACAGATCACTCCACAGGGGGGTCCGGGCAGGTGTTGGGAGTTGCCGGGCGGGGTGCCACCTCGTTTTTCACCAACAGTCACACACTTCGTGCTCTTCGAGTTCCCAGAACTCCATTCCCAGGCTCATTCTGAATACCCGGATGCAACAGTCACACACTTCGTGCTCTTCGAGATCCAGAACGCCATTCCCGGGCCACATTTAGAATAACCGGATGCAACAGTCACACATTCCTCTACTTGCACCCAGAACTCCATTCCCGGGCCACATTTTGGATGCCCGGAGCCAACTGTAGGCCACTTCGTGCTCTTCTATTTCCCAGAACTCCATTCCCGGGCCACATTTTGAATGCCCGGAGCCAACTGTAGGCCACTTCGTGCTCTTCGAGTTCCCAGAACTCCATTCCCGGGCCACATTTTGAATGCCCGGAGCCAACTGTAGGCCACTTCGTGCTCTTCGAGTTCCCAGAACTCCATTCCCGGGCCACATTTTGAATGCCCGTAGCCAACTGTAGGCAACTTCGTGCTCTTCGACTTCCCAGAACTCCCATTCCTGGGCCACATTTTCAGCAGGGGCAAGAGCACGACGAGGAGGAGGACGAGCAAGACCAGGAGGACGAGGACGAGCAGGAGCAGGACGAGGAGCAGGAGGAGCAGGAGAAGAAGGACGAGCAGGAGGAGGAGGAGGACGGACGAGCAGGAGGAGGAGACGACCAGAGGAGGGAGGAGGAGGGGAGAGGAGGAGGGAGGAGGGGGGGGGGGAGGGGACCAGGAGGGAGGAGGAGGAGGGAGAGGAGGAGGGAGGAGAGGAGAGAGGACGACCAGGAGGAGGGAGGAGACACCACCAGGAGGAGGAGGAGGAGGAGGAGGAGGAGGAGGAGGAGAGAACACCAGGAGGAGGAGGACGAGCAAGACGAGGAGGACGAGAACGAGGACGACCAGGAAGAGGAGGAGGAGGAGGAGGAGGGGAGGGGGAGGACTACCAGGAGGAGGAGGAGGAGGAGGAGGAGGAGGAGGAGGAGAGGAGGAGGAGGAGGACGAGGAGGAGGAGGAGGACGAGGAGGAGGAGGGGGGGGGAGAGCACCAGGAGGAGGAGAACGAGGACCACCAGGAGGAGGAGGAGGAGGAGGAGGAGGAGGAGAGGAGGAGGAGGAGGAGGAGGAGGAGGAGGAGAGAGGGAGGAGGAGGACGAGCAAGACGAGGAGACGAGAACGAGGACGAGCAGGAGGAAGAGGAGGAGGAGGAGGGAGGAGGAGCAGGAGAAAAGGGAGGAGGAGGAGGCAGGCTGAGGCTGAGGCTGTGACTGCTGACTGTTGCCGCTGCGACTGTCATCGCGGATGCGACTACGACTGCGAGAACAGCAGAATTCGACAACTGGATTTTCATCTGAATCTTAAGGGGAATGCTTTCAGATATGCTTCTACACATCGCTGTTAGGTTGCTTTGCCGGGATAATTGTTTTTTTTTTTTTTTTTTTTTTTATTATTATTGTTATAATATATATATATATAAATATCTCTGTGGGCGCGGACAAAGGTCCACGGTTTCATGCAAACAAATTCAAGCAGGCGGGACGGCCGCCGCCCTCGCGGCTCGCCCGCGTTCGCGGGCCGCCGCAGCGTCCGCGAAGCCGTGGGCTCGGAGGACGCCCTCGAGCCCTGGGCGGATCCGCCGCGGCTCGGCTGCCTCCGCCCGCGGGGCCGCCGCTGCCAGGCGCCGCGACGCCGTGGCGCTCGGCGGCGCAGCCAACAGGCTACCAGCGCCAGCCGCAGGCGGCGTGGGCGTGGCTGCAGCAGGCTGCCGCAGCGCTGGCTCGGGCGCCGCCTCGGTCGCCTGCACCTCCGAGCCGTGGCCCTGCCTGGCTTGGAGTGCCGCCGCCCAGCGCAGGCGCGTGCTTGCCGTTGGCGAGGCCAGCGGCGCGATCGGCTCCTTCGACGCTGGCAGGATCCCACGTGCGAAGTCCGACCGCGCCTGGGCTCTGGATCCCTTCTTGCTTTCGGGCTGCCCCGCCGCCGCGCTGGCCCCGCACGGCTTGCCCAGGCCGCGGCGCGCGTACCTGGGGAGGCGGCAGTACATCCAGCAGGCCGCGCAGACCAGGAAGGGCTCGGAAACGTCGCCCTCGACGCGCGACTCCATGAGGAGGTGGCCGTTGACCCTCCATCCCGCTGGACGGGTCGCATCTGCCGCCTCCGCAGGGGCTGGGCCGCTGCTCGTCGCCTCCGCCGCCGCCACGCGCGGGCTGGGCGCGGGCGCCGAGGCCTCGCGGCGCCTCGGATGCTCCTGCGCCCTGCGCTGGGCTACACGGCGCAGCACCTCCGCGGGCGACTCGGCCGAGGCGGGGCGGCGCCTCGCGGGCGAAGGCCGCGAGCTGGAGGCGCCAGCTGCCGCCACCGCTGCCAGGGCCGCCGCCGTGGCGAGGCGGGGGCCGCCGTCAGCCGCCGAGGGCAGCACTACGCCGACGTCATCGCCAGGCTCGGCGTCGGGCTCCATCAAGAAGCCAGTCGCTGAAGCGGCAGCCCCGCGCACCTCCGCGTCGTGCATCACCTCGAGCTCGCCGCGCCCCTGGGACTGCGACGTCGGTGGGCTGAATCCACCTGTCCCAGGGGCGGGCTCCGCCGCGGCGGCGTGCAGGAAGTCGGTCTCGCCGTCGAGCTCCGCCGCCATGTAGGGGGTGAGGTCGACGAGCTCCAGCGAGCTGATGGGCCAGGAGTCCCGCAAGCCCGACTCCGTAGCCTGGACCTCGAACTCGGCGGCGTACCGCGCCGCGTCACGGGCGCGGGCCAGGCAGCCCTGGAGCAGGAGGGCCTCCTCGTCGGCGATGGCGTGCAGCGCCGCGCCCGCCTTCGCGAGCTGGTCCGCGAGGCGGTTGCCGTAGAGCTCCACCTCCGAGAGTACGCCCTGCTCGACTGCCGCCCGAGAACGGTGGGCGGGGATGTGCTTCACGTGCACCCCCTCGGCGGCGTCGCCGACCCTCGCCCAGAGGTGGGCAAACTGGGCCGTCGGGGCCGCCGCCCTCTTCACGTCCTTGCAAGCCCCGACCGTGCCGAGGCAGTCGATCATGAGGTGGTAGTGGCCGACGATGTCCGTGAGGGCGACCACCGCCGCGTAGTCCTCGCCGGAAACCTTGGATAAGGAATCCAGAGTCTGGGAGCCCGCGGAACCTCAGTTGCGGATCGGCAGTGGGCATCGCCGCCGCCCTCATCAGATAATGATAAGGAATTATTCAGGGCCCGAAGCCTCCTGGGCACATTCCTGAACCAGCACCCCCACCGTAGAATATAAGAAGCGGCGCACACACAAACATTCGGAGGTCCGCGCGAATTTCTTGGATCGGCGCTGGGCCCCGCTGGCGGCGCGTCCGGCGCCGTCGCTGGCGCGCTCTGCGAGCGAGGGGCGGGGACCCCCGCGCCGATTCCAGACATCCGCGCGGACCTCCGAACGTTTGTGTTGTTGCGGGTTCCCTTCACCGAAACGGGTGAAAGAGGAGGAGGAGGAGGAAGAGGAGGAGGAGGAGGAGGAGGAGGAGGAGGAGGAGGAGGAGGAGGAGGAGGCGGGGGGGGATAAATATGGGTAGCTCTAAGGAGGACAGGAGGGGGAGAAGGAGGGAGGAGGAGAAGGCGGATGACGACAAGGGTGGGGAAATCTGATGAAACAGCGTGGGGAAGGATACGCCTGGGTCGACGG